TGTACTTGCCACGGAGGTTTTGTGCATCCCAGCGTCCTCTGTTCCTGTGAAAGGGTTTTTTCCAAAGCTGGGGAGGTTGTCAGCAAAAAAATAAATAGACTCAGCCCTGGAACTGTTGAACAAATTCTGTTTCTGAATAAAAATGACATTTGATCCCCATATTGTCACCAAGCACAACTACCTGTTCACAACCCCCCCCTCACCAAAATCACCTTCACGAAGTCCTCGGGACTACAGATGGAAATCAGCCCTAGGCTACAATCTGGCCTGTTTACATTCATGTTGTCCCTACATGTATGTCCTTTAACATGCACTGTCCCAAATAAACATCATTTCATTTCAAGTATTCACACCAAGAAAAGCAATTTTAGTATATTTAATGTAATGTTCAAATTCAAGATACTTTTATTATATGATCCTGAGGAAGCTTTTTAATGCTTTATTTGTTCGTAAAGTTCAATACACCATTCCTTTTCAGTAGAATTGGCAGACAATACAATGAAATACAAACATTTACCAGCAGATGTCCTCACAGAGTTTTGAAGCATCGACCCTTGAACCTTTTTTCAATACAATTGGATTGTAATGCTTTGTTGGTTCAAAAGGCTTCACATCATCATCACTAGTGACTTGAGCTTCCCCCATTCTGCTCAGTGCCTCTAGCTGTCTGACACAATGCTGGATCTGTCTGGTTGGTGACTCCAGGTCTCCCCTTCTGGCACACCCGTGAGCCTCCACCTGCAGAGAGTTCAGCACAGCCAGAGTAGATGCAGAGCTGTGTGTGTCTTCCCCTTTTAGTAGAGCAGTGTCTGAGTTCTAATGGAAATCACCAGTGTTGCTGTGCGCACGCACACACACACACACACACACACACACACACACACACACACACACACACACGCACACACACACACACACACAAAGTGTGATACAGCTCTACCAGGTTACATCTCCCTTATCTTTTTCTTTTGTTTCCCCAAGGCTCTTATCCTGTCTGCCTACAGGGCACTTCTCTGCATTCCTCCTGAAAACTCTATTTTTATTAATCATGGATTTGGTTTATTGGTCATTCAAAGCAGTTGACAAGATTTTTTCACCGATGAGAACGAAGTAGGGGGCTCCTACTTGTCCACATGGTATGCACACGGTGGGGTATGTATAGGCTCCAGAGCCGCGGGTTGCCGACCCCTGACTGAAACGCAACAGTAGAGCCCTGCGCTGGACTGTTTTCTTCATCCCGCTCCTGCACACTCCCACTGAATTTCTGACCATTACCGCCCGCAACCGCATCGTGTGTGTTACACTCCCGCCCGCACCTGCTGCGTGCATGTCTACTCCCGCCCGAAACCGCAAAACTCGGAGAAATTATTACCTCACAATAAAAGAGATGTATGGAGTTTGCGTCCTCAACATGTCATTTTATAGGCAATACCAGGGGTCGGCAACCCGCGGCTCTTCCATCCATCTGATGCGGCTCTCTGTGCTTGTAAAATAATGACTGGATATTTAAATAAAAAGTTTTATATTTTACTGCATTAATTTTACATCTGTATGCCAATTCTAAATGTAAAGATTGTCTGCGTAAACCTGAACAGGTCCAACCCGGTCTACTGTGAGACCGGGTTGACGCGTCACGCTTGTGCGTAATCATATCGGTGCTTCCTGAGCTGACGAGGATGTGAGGTTCTGGGATTCTCCTCAGACGACTCCTGGATGTGTCGCCACATTGGAAACAGGAACAAGCACTATTCAGCCAAAGTTTCATCATCAGGGAACATTTTCTAAGTGACAAGTCTCTCTGAGAGACCGGGTTTGGAAAACACTCGCTTCAGTGGGAGGAATCTTCCTGCATGCGCTCTGGTTCTGCGATGCGCTCCAAGCCCCTCTCCACATCTTCAGCTCGCTGTGCACCTTATGTACGCGCTGACAGCGAGCTGCGCTGAGCAGTGTCCAGCTCAGATGTTCAGATGGGAATCTTTTCTTGGGTGATTTAACTACATCTGCGATGTGTGTAACAAATAAAACGTCAGTTTGTCTGCATGCGCTCTGGTTCTGCAACGCCCTCCAAGCCCCTCTCCACATCTTCAGCTCGCTGTGCACATATGCGCTGAGCAGTGTCCAGCTCAGATGCTCAGATGGGAATCTTTTCTTGAGTGATTTAGCTAGATCTGCGATGTGCGTAGAATAAAATGTCAGTTCGTCTGCATGCGTCGGGGTAATTCTTTCTATTCTTTCTCCGTCAAAATAAACGGGAAATACGGGAACTGTCCGGTCAACACAAGCCCTGCTTTTAACTGTTCTGTTTTCTTGTGAAAATTGTTGGAAAGAGATCAAATTTAACTTGATTAACACCAGAGCCAGTGCGCCGTCATATCCGTGATGGTAAATGAGGGAAAAACAAATTGATCGGATCCTGCACGTCTTTTAACACATTGGTCAGGATTGACGCACTTTGTTTTCGTTTAGTTGGTTAAAAAAAAGTCGGGCTCAGGCTCGGGTTGGGCCAGAGAATCCTGAAAACCTTTTTGGGCCGGGTCGGACACGGGCTCAGATTTTAGGCCCCTGCAAGGCTCTAATCCAGAATGCCAGGTCCTCGAACCCCCCTTTCGGTACTGGAGCTGATGAAACAGCATGAGCAGTACTACATAGTAGTCTTTGGATTGTCTCCAGGTAAAAAGCAACAGCTGGTTCACAGCGTCAGATGGACCCCCTTGGGTCAATGAGTTCAGCTTTTATTCTGAAAGGAACCGTTGCTTAGTTGGTAAAATGCAACAGATTTTATCCAGCTTGTTGGTTCTTTGCTTAAAAAGGAAGTCCGGGTGACTCAAGTGACCCTGCCCCATCACGTGCAGAGGCTGCTCGAGGGGGTGCTGCTGCAGGAGGATCGAGAGGATGTCTCCCTGGTAAGGTCGAGGGACATGGAGCTGTGGAACAACGTGTGGTTCGTCAGAGGAGGTCCCCGCTTGGTTCAAGGATTATTGTGTGGATGTTTAGGACTCGAGGGCGAGTCCTTCAAGGCAAGAAAGGGGAGAGTGTGAAAGACAGAAGACGGGAGTTGCCGGATTCTGAGGGCGTGGTGATTGGACGCCGGCTGGTCCTTGTTACGGGTAATGAGGCCGGAGAGGACAAAAGGGTGGCAGATCTACCAAGGTGGTGTGTGTGTGGTCGACCTGTCGTTGTGGCACCGGATCCTGGGGGGTGGGGTCGTTCGCAGTCGTTTAGGACTGCCGGCGACGAAGATAGTTGAGCAGGTGGGCAGTGTTCCAGCGCTAGGAGGGAAGGCTTGATGCCTTCTTTAGGTAGCGAGGGCTGGGAGTAGTTGAGTGCCGAGACCACGCCGACATCTGCCGCCACAGACTCTGGCAGCCGGACCCAAGTTGTGGATGTACCCGCCGTCCTCGCAAGCTGAGCCTGGGGCGTTGGACGGTGTCAGAGCTCAGACCCCGGGGAGGGGGTCGCATCAACTGGGACAGCTAAGTACCGCTGCTTGCTTTTATTTATGCTGATCAGCGGGCATTTACTGTGAAGGACTAGTGTTTTATTGTTGAGTGTGATTGTTTTATTATTGCCGGTGTGAATAAAGATTTTTTGGATAAGTTGTTGCCTACTGGTGCTGTTTTTGGGTTCTGGCTGGAGGGCAAGATGTTCTGCCCGTGCTCCCACTGAAACTTATATTACAATATTGACTCTGATGAAGAAATTCTCTCATCCAGCCGGGAAGATTGACGCTGCTGCAGCATCAGACTGCTGGTGCTGCATGAGAGGTGTGTGGAGCTTACAAGCTCCAAACGTTGGGTTTGATGTTTGTTTAACCTTCTTTGGGACGTGATGGATGTAGAAATGATGGTAAAAACACCGCTAACATGACAGACGTAGCGACAATGTAAAACTTTTTTTTAAAAAGCTGTAAAAAAGAGGCAGAGGCCGATGCGTTACAAAGTGTCAAAGTGTGCCACATAATCATAAAAAAGGTAAAATATGAAATTTAAAAAGAGCTTGATATATTTATATATAAATTACAACCTTCCATGTAAAACATGTCATGTCTTGAAAGAATCGGAATCGATAGGAACCGAAATTGAAACGAGAAATAGGAATTGTTCAAAATCAAACGATGCCCAACCCTATAAGTGAATATTGTTTTTAAACATATTCATGAGCAGTTTTTAGGGCTTTTATGTTTTCTGTAAAGATTGGTATGTTGAAAATCATTTAATGTTTTGCATAAAGCATTAGGTTTTGGTTAGTAATTGATTGGGAGAATAACAAATGACTGACTTGGATTGTGTAGATCAGGCAGAGCTTTGTTGCCAGTGTTCCATTGCATAACGGCTTCAAACACGTATACAAAAGTGTTAGTTTTTTCGTAAACCATTGGATGAAATTACAAAAACTGACTGAGCTCTAGTTAAGGCTCTTGCAATAGTTTGTGTGTGTGTGTGTGTGTGTGTGTGTGTGTGTGTGTGTGTGTGTGTGTGTGTGTGTGTGTGTGTGTGTGTGTGTGTGTGTGTGTGTGTGTGTGTGTGTATGCTTGGGGGAGGGTACATTGGAACTTTGTCCCCCCAGTTTGAAAATCCTACCTGCGCCCCTGATACTAGTCTTCACCAAAAAAAAAAGGTTGATTTTGGTGTGACTTGCCCTTTAAGCTGTGCTGCGTTTTATTTCTTGTAGACTTTCAGTGTTTTATCTTTGCTTGTTTGTTTTTATTCATACAGCACTTTGGTTGAGAGTTGTGCATAAAATTATTAAAATGGTGGATTAGATTATTCTGTAGAGAGGAAACAAACTAGGGTTAAACAAATAAGAGAGTGGACATTAAATAAAAAAACTGCCTATGAATCTGTATGAAAAACTTCCCTGGAAAATGCTGCAGAAGCTAGGGATACTTTTATGGATTATTGAGAATAAAAGGATAGTTAGAAGTGTGATTTATCAGAACCGTTGGAAACCATGATGTAATCAATTCGTCGGTAAAATAATCTAAAAGCGGTTGTATGACTTTTAAAAACTACTCGGCTTCCGTACAGCTGAAAGCTATAACGATCCACGTAGCTCAATATATGCCCGTGGCTGCATAACACCGGTGTTTTGCTGCTGTTGGTGGTTGCCCTCTTCCCGTTTCCGTCGGTGTCAGGCTGAACAACCACCGCTACCAAGTGTGGAGACCGGGCTTAGCGGTAAGTGTCCTTCACCGTACGATGGCCGTGTTTAAAACCCGTTAACCGGTGAGAGCACGCGCCGGGGCTGCGCGCGCTCGTCCACTAGCTTTAGCGGTCTACCTTGACCCGCTAGTCTAAGCTAGCTGTTCTGTTTGTGTCAGGAAGAAAAGATGTTAGCGACACCGGGGTTCGCTGTAGCTATAGACGGCCAAGTGGAGCCTGCAGAAGGGGCTGCAGTCCCGGAGGCGTCATCTCTAATCCTAGGATGCCCAGGGAAGGTCCCGCCCTTCTCGCCTCTGATTGGCGGGAGTGGCTCTCCTACGATTGGCTATTTCATGTAAGCGGAAGCTGTTTCCCCTCGCTGCAGGTTTTTTGTTTACAGCCAGATCTTGAGAAGTTTTTGAAGAAAATGTGAACTAATCGCTATAACATCCTTTCCTGTTTAGCAACAGACCAGTTTTATTTTAGTTTGTAAAAGAACCTGAAAAACGTCAAATGTGAACTTGTAATAAATCTTGTATTTTATCACCTGTTGGCTCTATTGGGGTTATCTTATTACCGTAAATCCTCTAATACAGGCCCGGGCCTCTATTTGACTCAAGCTCATCAAGCTCCAGGCCTTTATTGGAAGGAGGGCCAGTATTAGAGGCAGGCCTCTATTTCCATTTGAGCAAAATGAACTAATGTTCATTGGAGTTTTTGACAATTAAAATTGCGCCCACATTTTCAAAGTTAAACACATTTCTTTTAACAACGGTAGTTTCTGCTTCAGCCCTCTCCCCCCTCCCCCTGCTTTAGCCCTCTCCCCCCTCCCCCTGCTTTAGCCCTCTCCCCCCTCCCCCTGCTTCAGTCCTCTCCCCCCTCCCCCTGCTTCAGTCCTCTCCCCCCTCCCCCTGCGCAGTGACCGCAAACTCACTGATGCGCCTGCAGCCTCTCGGAGTTCCTGCTGCTCTAAACATTAAAATAATTATTTCATTTTCTGTTCCTCACTTCTGATTACCTTCAATGGTGTCTGTTTGTTGCAACAGCAGGTACAAAAACTAACTTGTTTTTATTTGACTATTTTTCTGTCCTGTCTGTTTATTATCTTCCTGCATCTCATCTCAATCCTAAAGAAAAACTGCTACCTGGGTTCATATATATTCACCTCATGAGTTACCTTTGAACTGCAGTTCTAAAAGATCTACCAACCGCAAAAACAGCGGAGTGCTCGCTGTTTGTCGGCCGTATCAGTGATCAGTGCGTCGGAGGACAAGGTGATGCGCGCAGCGCCCCGCTCCACAGCGAAACGCATCAGGCGCAAATAAAAGACAGAAAACATTAAAGGAAATGAACTGACATGAACGATCGCGTGTTAAATTAGTTTTTGAGGTGGCGACACCTGATTGTTACTGTGGCCGTGCTCAGGAGGCAGATCTACCGACCACGAAAACAGCGGAGCGCTCCCTGCTTGCCGGCCGCATCAGTGATCTGTGCGTCGGAGGACAAGTTGATGCGCCCCGCTCCACAGCAGCGATACACATCAGGCGCAAATAAAAGACAGAAAACATTAAAGGAAATGAACCGTCATGAACGATCGCGTGTCAGTACCTACGGTCTGGCACAGCGCGTTGCCCCCCCCCCCACCCCCACCCCCCGAGCGCAGGAGCTTGTCACCTGCTGACAGCAGGCTGCTGTCTTTTCCGAGGGCTGCATCTTGCCGGTCTTTATCACGTGACAGCGACTAGTCGACGACAGGCATAAAAAGTCACTATAGTGAAGTTGACTAGTTCATACAACCCCTATTGCTGCTCTCCAGAGTGTTCTGCAGCATAATCAGCACGTTCTCTTTGAACTTGATAGTGTAATGACCTGGCTGGGGTTGTAAGCCAGGTGCATTCTGGGTATTGTGTTATATGTGTTTCCTATCGTTCTGCTAGTTCCTATGTGCTGATTTGCGTGTTGTGTGAGTGTTATGTAAGCCACAGGGAAGGTGATGTGTGTTCTGTGGAGCGGGCTGAATTAGCATGGTTAACTGACACCATGACTCTGTGTGGTAGGAGCGTGATAGAGGATCGTGTCTGTAGCGTCACAAAGCCTTGAAGAACAAGCCTAATAAAGGTCTCCGTGAACCTCTACTGCCTCCTGCTGGTTGATTTGGGGACTATAACCCTGCCGCTGGGATGCTCATACTTGCTTGTTACTACATTCCACCCGGCCACAATAAGAGACCGGCCATTATTTACCTCAACTGACTCTGACACCGGCCACAATTAGAGACCCGGCCTTTAATTGAATACCGGCCTGTATTAGAGGATTTACGGTACCTAATTATTAGGCTATTAGACTATCCTGCTTTAATAGGTTAAGCCTGTTTACAAGTTAGAGCATATCTCTCATCATCAGATTAAATGTATATCATTTAATCAAAAATTAGGCTAAAGCTGATTATGATGATTTCACCAGTTTTCATTATTCTAGAGAAGAAACAGACCTGATGCACACAGCTGGGCAGAATAGGGCAGTTTTATTACATTTCATAACCAGGTAAGGCACACATGTTTATCCAATGTACGCTAATGCTTCAGAGTAGAGCTGGACCATATGGCTTAAAATCAATTTCACGATATATTGAGGATTTAACCTCGATAACGATAAATGGACGATAGCTACAGGTATGCGCAGAAACAAAAGTTGTCCAATAGACGGGGCTGTCACATGTATTAAGTTGAGTTACATTGGCCTTGTTCCAGATGAGCCAGTTCTGCACAGATTCGATCACCGGTGATCGGCGCTCAGTGCATGCCAGTTAGATTTGTGTCCGACTTAACGCCAACTGCTCTGACGTCATGCATACGTAGGCAACGATATCCTCGTGAGATCAAAGCGGCTGCAGATTTTGGAGCAAGGTGCTGCACTTGCTCTCCACCGGCTGCAAAACCTAGGGCATGACGGGAAACACCTGGCGCTCATCTGATCTAAGATCTGATTGGTTCACATTCTGATCCAAACATCCGGTGTTAGAACATGACATGTTATTTGGTCACGTGTATTCTGTAAATCATGTTACGTTGATGATATAGGGCTGCAACTAACGATTATTTTCATAATCGATTAATCTGTTGATTATTTTTTGATTCATCGATTAATCGGTTTGTTATTGTTTAGCTATTTAACCTATACAAGTGATGAATACATTTCAGTTCAGAAAAAGAAAAACATAGGAGAATTGTGCAGTTGACTGCAATCTATTTTATTGCACCTGAACACAGTCAGCGGTGTAAAATGAGCTAAACAGTGCAAAATATCAGTCCAAAATAATTTTATGGCATCAAAATATAAGAGGTAAATTCCATAAAAAATAATCTAGAATCTAGAATAGAGTTTGTAAGTGGTATGCATTGCTGGGGGGTGAGTGTCTTGTTCCCCATGTAGTTGTCCATCGTTGCTTGTTTTTTTTCTGCATGAGAAACACAAATAGACTGAAATAAGTACACATATAAAATAAAGCAGCACACACACTACAACACTAAATCAATATTATATTATTTGAATTAATTAACAATATACAGTGATCATTTATTTTGACAAAAATGTGTTGTGAGGCGTTTTACAGCGTTAGATAGTAAAACAGCCTTTTAATAGTAAAAAAATGACTTTTTCTGAATTTCTCCTGTATTTAAAAATTGAAAGCGTACAACTATGCCGCGTTATATTCACCTGGACACAGCTCGTCTGTATATTTTTCACCGCGGAGTTGTCCTTTTTTGAATGAGGAACATAGTTATGGGTTTGTGCCGTTTTTCTCTTAACGAGAACATTCTTATAAACAGACGTGCTAAACTTGGCAAGCGCATGATACACAACACGGAGGAGATTCACGATTGCATCTAGTCAATCAGAAGTAGAACACCGTAGACTGACGCAGCAAAAAAACATGTTTAACATCCACAATAACGAACTCAGCTAAAACACTAACCCCCAAATTTGATCTGCATGTAGTGATGACTTATTTTCTGTTACTTACCGGGCTGGCGCTTCCTCTGCTGCATCAGCCCCCACATGTTTTCGTCTCAAATGTTCACTTTGGGACGTCGTGCTTCCGTGCCATGCTAGATGGTTTTTGCATATTTTGCAGGTCACCCGTCTTTTCATGGCATCTAGAGTAAAGTGCTCCCATACTCGTGAGGTTTTTGTCCGGGGTTTCTCTTGTTTTGTCGCTTCTATTTTTCTTCCGTATTTCTTCTTGTTCCGCCATCTCTCACAGCAAGATGCGCGTCAGTAACGTGATACGTCATGAAAACCGAGGGCACTTATTGGCTCGTTTCTTCTTCTACGGCTCCACTGGTAGATCAGTGGCTCATTACTGCCACACACTGGCGGCAAATTTAACATATTGTAACCGATGTCAGATTGTGGTAAAAATAGACTTTATGCGGTAAAATGTGATTATTAAACAACTAATCGATGACTAAAAAAGTTGTTAACTTCTTTAATAATCGATTAAATTGATTAGTTGTTTCAGCTCTAGATGACAACTATACAGTATAGGCCATAAAGAGAAATGCGATTTGTGTTATTTTGTCATGTTTCGCACACTAAACCTACAGCTGATAACCTTTACTTATTATTACAGTCGTATCTCCATATACAATATATGATATCCACAAGCACGTGAGGATGTGTTTCTGTTGCAAACAGACACCAAATTTAAAATGACAAATTAAACAAGTATGAACGCTAGCGCGATATCTTCATCCATCGTCACCTGTGAGGGAAATCTGTCCGACTTAAACTCCGGCTTTCAGCCACTCCCCCTGCTGCGTCCGCCTGCTCTCGTCTGTTTTCCAGGTGAGGCGCTGCTCAACTCGAACACGGCCATTTTTACGTGACTCAAGGTGGTACAGCTTCTTAAAGGGACACGAACGTTGCCAACCTACCTCTTTCATTTTTTTCATTATCATATCTATTGATATGGGAAAAATTATCTCGATAAGAGTCAGAAATTTCGATAACGTCAAATTTTCGATTTATTGACCAGCCCTAGTTCAGAGTCAAAAGATATGAAGTAAGTCCAACAGTTTAATAAATGCAGCAATATTAGAAATTCACACTTTTCAGGTTTTTATGAAACATAAAATGTTTTGTAAAACAAGACAGAATGTTTATTATAGCGCTAAGTTCTCATTTTCTTTACTAAACTCCCCAAAGCAGCTTTCTGCTGGTGGCAGAAGGACACAGTCAGCACTTAGGCTGGGGACAGCTGGTTTGCTGCTAGATGAAACAGCCAATTGTAGAAGAGCCTTTCTAGCCAATCAGAGGCGAGAAAGGCGGGATCTTCCTTGGACATCCTAGGATTCCAAATGACGTGCCCAGAGACCGCAGATTCAGGGTTCTACTGACTATGAGACAGCGCCCTCTAGAGGACGAGTGATCATTCCAGCTGTAGATTCTGAACATTCTTTAGTTTATTTTTTGTTTAAGCTTTATTTAACCAGATGAGTGGATAGAGAACTTGTTACTTCACACTGTTTACAGATCACCTCACGTTACTTTGGTTTTGGGTAAAGATTGAAAGTGCCGTGGGTCCCTGGCCCCCCACCAATCAAGTGTACCCACTGGAGCTGAGTTTTACTTTGACTTAGAAAAGAAAATCGCCTAAGCTGAGCCAAGTTTAGCTGAACTGAGCTGAAGTGGGAATTAAGATAAAGTACCATTTGCCGCTGAGCTGAATTGATTTGGGACACAGGTCCCAGCGACAGAAGAGTTGAAAGGGACATGAATGGTTTGGTGGACATTTTCCTTCTCTGACTGAGGGACAGTTGGACTGCTTCTCAGACAGGACGATCTTGGAGACTGTGGTCTCTCTGCCCTAAGTTCAAGTGGCTTACTTTTTGACCTCTTGTAGGGATGGGTTGTCCATTTAACATGGGGCATAATGGTGCCTGGCTTCAGATCACTCTGGGACAAAGAACATTGATAGATGTAATCAGCAGACCTGCAGCCCTAATCCTGCATTGGTCTGGTAGACCTAAACAAGCTGAACAGTTGAGAACTGTCACAGTCCAGGCACCAGTGTTGAGACTGACATCCTGTCCTCTAGGTTTTGGAGGACGTTTAAGCATGGATGCTGTTAAAGAAGGAGATAGGAGCAGCCTGACCTCAGGCCGAATGGTGGCCCTGGCTGCAGGACTTTCTCTTGGGGCCACAGTGGGCTACATGGTCTATCGCCACGTCCGTAGCTCCAGAACCTGTAAGTTTCTGCATTTAGCTATTTCTCTTGCCAACCCTGTGTTAACCACATCATATTATGATTACCATTAACAGGTCTGGAGTCCAGTACTGAGGAATTCAGCATGGTTCTACCTATTGATGTCTACAAGAATATCTTCAGGTGTCAGGCTATGTTCCTTGATATGGTAAGCAGATGTCACATGTCTCCATCACGTTCTGCTCCAGGACTCTGATGACCCTGTCGTTTCTTGGTCTTCAGTGGCAGCTATCCAAGCAATTTAAAGACAAGGTTCACTGAGAAACCATTTTTTTACTTCTTATTTTAGGAAATTATCCACAGAACACAGAACAGAAACAATTTTCAGAAGGATCACCCTTTATCACTTTCTAGATTGCATGAGAACAGAGTAAGAGGTACAACTCATAACTGGTTGAGCAGTTTTTTGATGGACAGAATGCAGTTTGTACCATTGGAAAATATGGACTCAGAACTATTGATACGGGGTCGGTGTTGGACCAAAAGCTTTTTCATTTGTAACGTTTCCAAAATATTACTGTTTATTTTATTTGCTAATGATACAAATATATAAACAAAATATACATTTTTTTGTAATCGAATAATAGATGAATCCATAGCATTTTACATAGATGTAAATAATACACAGTATTAAGTTCTTAAGAGTTGTTTTGGACCACCAACTCAACCGGAAAACTCATAAAAAATATAAAACAAACATTTGATCAAAAACAAAAAACAAACAACGCTCCAGATATCACATTATTCATTTGTTGCTCCATAAGTGACTTATGGCATATAATATAGGGCAACACATAAAAAAGCAAAGCTAAACTGTTGTTTATAATACAAAAGAAAGTTTCAAGACTTTGACAAGAAGTTAAAGCTGGAAAACAAACTAACAGTTTGTCTATTCAAAGTAAAATCTTGAAACTAAAAGATTTGGTTTACTATATTTTATTTACCAACATTATGTTACAAATATGATCAAAACCAATCTTTTGTCTTTAGTGATGAACTTACAATTGAAATAACCAGAGATGAATGATGATAAATGACCTGCACTTGTATAGGACTCCAAAGCGCTTTACACTACAGTGTATCATTCATCCATTCACACTAGGGTTGCAACAATTATACATTTTGGTGGTAATATTATAGTCTGAGAAATAGTCACGGTTTCACGATTACCACGATTATTTTACATGAATTGATTTCATATCTGTATTAACACACATAAGTCACACACACACACACACACACACACACACACACACACACACACACACACACACACACACACACACACACACACACACACACACACATTGTATAAATTATTGATAAAGTACATGATTACATTCAATAAAGGTTTTGAACCCCTGAAATATCTTTGTTCCTTTTCAGAGATTTAGCTTAGAAAAATTCACTCTACAGCTGATTTGCAATGTTGATGTTTTACCTCCACAAGTAACACAAGCCTGGAGGATTTCTGCTGTGCGGTGGAGTTGCTAGTGCTAACAGTTAGCCTCTACTAGCAGAGACATTCTCTGCTGTTTCCTGGATGCTAAGCCAATAACAGCCTTCCCCGTCATGAGTCAAGATGGGATGGGATGAATGTTCAGTGACAGTGTGACGTAGATGTTTAGTGTCTGAGGCTGGGTGGCTCTTAAAAGAGCTTTGACCTTGGAGTCAAAACAGAAAATGGTTCCAAATGCTTGCTCACCGATTGGCCAAACCAGTAGGCAGCGGGCGAACTAACTAGATCAGGAAGTGATCCCTATACTTATTAAATGTTTACTAATTTAGACAAATCAGCGTTTGACAAGTTTTAAAGAGTGTTAGCAACGTCCTCAGAAAGTCACGCCTTCACTCAGATATTTAGCGGTTCATTCTCAGTGTGAAGTGGAAATGTTTTTACACATGTATGCGAAGTGAAGGTTAAAACCTTAATATTACTTCCAATAATGTATGAATATACTGATTTTAAACTGTTAAATCAATAATTACTGATCTGGTGTAGTTTAAGATCTGAAATGAATTGTTGCAGGAAACATATTCATTTTAACACACCATTGGTTAATGCACACATTATTCAGACACTTTGGATTTAACCAAGAGATGGTTACATGACACTTATACAATTAAAAAGTTTTAAAAAGTCATTTATGTCAGCCAGGGAAATAAACTTTATTCAGAGTGAAAGTGTAGAACGGCTTGTCTTCTGCATGGGCCTTGAGTTCCAGCAAAGATAAATGACCTAGAAAAAGCGCTTCTTTATTTGGTAACAAGCTTGTTGCAGTACCTTTCTGGATTAGAGACCAGGCTGTTAACCTCTGGCCATTGTGATGGAAATACTTGGCCTTTTTGGTACGTTACCCCCCCAAGGGCACGGGGTCACGGACAGAAGACCACAAGGCGTTGGACAACTCTAGAGGCCCTGAGGACGCAGCAGAGGAAGACAGAGTTAATTCTCAGGCACCAGAGCAGCAGGAGTGAGGAAAACCAAACCCTCACACAGCAGATTATTCAGTAGATATTCCAATCAACAAATTGTAATCCCACTTGGCGAAACCCGCAGACAGGGACCACGATGACAAGGAAGCCAGAGCCATGAGGAGAAGCAGACTAGACCATAGCGAACCACAGCGATCCACAGTGAATGTAGAAGATGGGGATCCCCATAGAACGTCCAGAACTCCAGATGAACCTGAAGCCAGAACAGGAGGAAGCAGAAGCCAGGAGACAGTCAGAGAAGGCAGCAATGTCATTCCCAGGCAACGAGGACATCTGGCAAAACTCAGCAAAGCATCAAAACACACACACAGGGCATTTGACCACAGACCCTTACAAATGGAGCCCAGTGGGAAAGAACAAGTAGAAATAAACACTAGGACTATATGTATCCTATATGTGCTATGTGTATGGAGATTATGTGAATGGAGGTCAGCTGAAAGATGTGGATGTAGTAAACCACATGCACTGAAAAGGTGCATAAACGAACAAAATAAACAAAACCCTATAATTAATGTAAGGGTAAAATGAAAGCTTTTGAAAGTAATTAATGGAATCAACAATGGAAGAGCAAATTAATCAAAAATTTAAATCAAAATCAAAGGAAAGTATAAAAGGTTAGTGACAAAGTCATCAATGGTAATCGATGTAATGGAACTGTGTAGGTATGTATATGTATGTGTCCTTAAAGAAAAACTTTTGAAAAATACATGGACGAACACAAGAAGTTAATCAGTGTTAGTAATCAAACCCTCTATTTGAATGTACCACAAAAGGAATTAATGGATTGGTATTATAAAAATGAAATATAAAATGAAAATGAAATCTGTTCATAAAATTTGTGAAAAAGTTATAAAAGCATATTTTGACTATCCAGAAACTGAAAATAAACGAAAATGAATTTGGATTCATCTTAACGGTTAGCAGATTTAACCACATTTCACTGTTATGAAACTAGTTGTCACAGATCTTGCCACAGAAGTCCCCCAGGGCTCTGAACTAGGACCTCATCTCTTTGCCACATACACCACCTCACTGGATGAGATCATTCGATCGCATGTCTTCTCCTACCACTGCTATGCCGACGACACCCAGCTCTATCTGTCATTGCCGCCAGATGACCTCACAGTCTCTGCGCAATATCTCAATCAAAAGTGATTCCCTATGTAGGAGTTGGTAAATTGAGTGCTTTAAGAGCTTAATATATTACCTCTACTTATGACCACTAAGCTGTGATACTCTATATTGTTGCAAGTTCCCACATGCCAAAAACAGTGGCAAAAGACAGAGTCAACAGGTGGGCCACAGAGATAAGATTGGACCCACACTGAAATACACTGAACTTGCTCCTGCGAGTAAAATCAGCCAGAAGACAAGAAGGAGGGGCCCAAATGAACAACACGCACCCAAGCTGGGACAGAGGAAGACCAACTGAAGATAAAGCATCTCAGAAGAGGACAAGCCCTCCATAGAAAGTTCTGGACTTTGGGGGGAGCTGAAGACCAGTTTACAAATGTGACATCATATGAGTTTGGCTGTCATGTGTTGAGCTAAGATAAGAAACTGACAAATGATCACATTGTTTTGCTGTCTCATGACTGTTTGAGTTATTGCTTGGCAATTGTTTAGAATAGTATAAAAGGAGCAGCTAGGAGTAGAGAGGACACAACAGTTGGGGCAGACAACAGTGGAGAGACAGAGCAGAGCTGAGATAGAAGAGGTCGGCCTCCGTCCGCTGGACAGGTCAGTCGTTGGGGAGAGAAGGAGAGAGTCGTACCTAGAGTTAGAGAGTGACAGGTTAGTGTTGACACAAGTCAGCCATTTATTCTCAGGAAGATTTTAGCATTAGCATCCTCCACAGGGGAAAGGTTAGTTTTATATTTGCTTATTTTTTGTATTTTGCAATTTTTGAAATACATTTTTGGAAAAAGAAACCTCATTCTTGATTCTTAAAGGTCCTTTTTAAAGGTTTGAGTGGGAGCCCCGATCCAAAACAATAGGAGAGGTAAGCATATTGTAATTACAGGTTCCTGAATTTTCAGGACTTGCTTTACGGTTTGTGACAGATTAAGAAAAAGAAACCTTAAGTAAAGAAGCTAGTCTTCTCCTCTCCCGTGAGTAACGAGATGTCTTAAGGATGATAAGCCAAAACATGAGTAGGTTAAATTGGGCTCTGTTTGCAAGTGTGAAAAAGTCTCCACCAGCGTGGGAAGGTTGGATTAATTAGATTAATTGATAAATCTATGTTAGCCTGATCAACTAACAAGAATCATTTTCTAGTTACCAGCCACCCACAAAGCTGACAGAGGCGCAAATTAATCCTAATATGACCCAAAGAATTGCCAGCATGGACGGCCCCCAGCTGAACTTCCGCCTCAGTATTTAAAACAATTAAATAACAGGAGAAATCAAAAGGGAAGTGTGCTATCACAAAAGAAATAGTACGGCATATCATTCTCACCTTAAAATACTGAATTCTAATTAGGGAGCCCAAACCAGGGTCTAATACAATAAAACTCACCGATGCCCCATGAACCCTGAGAAAGCAACGCAGTCTTATAAGTTCTAACGGAACCAGGTTTTAAAGGAACCGACAAACAGGACACACTCGCGACAATATAAAATATCAACCTGCTTGGTCTCTGGATGTTTAAT